GTTTTGTGCAAAAACGCATGATCGCTCCGGCTCGCCTGGTGCGTTCCAGCCTAGGTTTGCATGAAATCCGGTCGTTTTTTCGGTAAATGCTCGCCTTGTAAAAAAATGACAAATGCAAATTTTTTGAAAAAATGCAAAGTTCCAGTTCATTAAAAATTGGAAGTACTGCTTGAACGACCGTTTGTCAAAAAATCCATGTTCATTTACATATACGATTGCGGTTCAGATCCGAGTTGCGAGCGATTTTTGGGTTGAGGAGCTGCTTGAGGCTGTGGCTGGAGTGCTCGACAGCTGAACTTAAAATCTTTAGCTCGCACGTGCATAAAGAATACCTCTGCAAAGTTTCAGCTTTCTATCTTGCTTGATTCGCGAAATTGTTTCCTGTTAACATATTTATTTGGGGGCCCCGTACACGGGGTTTAGGCGCGTATGGGGAAGATCTTAAAACGGGAGGATAACACACGGGAGTAGGGACATATATCCAAAATTTCAGCCTCCCAGCTTTCCTGGTTGCTGATGAAAGTGGGTAACAAAATGCACTCGCTTCTGAACACACACACACAGCCTCTCGACAATATGCGTTTTTGCACCGCTGCTTTAGCGCTGCACAGCAAAAACGCATAAAAATTATGCGTGAGTTGAAGAGATTATGCGTTTAAGTTTGCTTCTTACAAACCTGATAAGTTTTCTCAACTTCCCGCTGGCATTTGATAAAAGCGTCGTAATCAGCACAGACCATAAAGCTGCAAAACGAAACTGAGTGGCATGAAAATAATCCAGGTTTCAAACGATGACATTAGCTGCGCTACGCTTTTCATCAGTGGCATTGGTACTGCGTATACGATGTGTACCGGCGGTACTGGATCTGGTTCGCTCTGCACTCACCGACGAGTTCTCCAACGAAGTGAGATATGTTCTGGGCGAGCTTTTGCGCATATCAAAAATTTCAAAACAACATGACTTCAAAAAAAAAAGAAAAAATTTAGCACCACCCACGTTTTCAGAGAAGTTCCTCCAAATATGAGAATATTTTCCATTTTTCCACTGTTACTTTCAAGTACAACTAGCAATACGTGAAATAACCTACCGATCCCATTTTTTCAAAGCCATTGCAACATCTCTCAGTAAATCGGGCTGGTCTGGAGTGAAGAAGCCACTCTCAATCTGATCCACGATTTTAGCAAGTTCGGGGCTCTTGTTGATAAATTCTTCCGGATTGTAGCTAAAAAAATTGAGTGTAAAATTATGTTGATTTTTGAAAGCAGAATGATATTTAAACCGTTTACGAAAACAATGTATCTCAAACATGCCCTCTTTTGCCAAGCTGAATCACATCGTCAACTTCCATTCCAAAAATGAAAATGTTCTCGCGGCCCATCTCCTCCATCATTTCCACGTTCGCGCCGTCCAGTGTTCCAATCGTCAGAGCACCATTTAACTGCAGTAAACTACTGTTTTCTGCACGCTGACACTCAGGCAGTGCGTTTGTGATCTTCGTGCAAATGCATGTAATTTTTCCAGTAACCACGAAAATGGAATAAACAGCGTGCTGTCGAGCAAAATTAGTGCTTCCAACACAGGAAAAGAGGCCGTCAGAAATTCTTACCATAAATTTCATGTTTCCAGTACCACTAGCCTCCGTACCAGCAGTCGAGATTTGCTCGCTCAGGTCCGCGGCAGGAATGATCTTTTCAGCCAGCGAAACACGATAATTTTCAAGAAAGACCACCTAAAAATTATTCATTTTTAATGGCACAAGTCTGAAAAGTTATAATTTTTGTGGATTTTATTTCAGAATCTGGCACTGGACTTAAAAACTTAGCCGTGACATATAATGCAATCAAACCTTCAATTTGTTTCCAACAATAGGGTCGTGGTTGACGGTATCACCCACGCTGTTGATAAGTTTGATAATTTGTTTGGCCATGTGATAACCAGGAGCAGCCTTTAAACGTTTCGAATATGTAATTACAAATTATCTAAAGCCCTCATGTAACACAGAGAAAAAATTTCGAGAACTGTGAAAGGCCTCAG